TAGTTTCGGGTGTACAGCAAAGTGATTCAGATGTGTATGTATATAGATATCTATATCTATGTAAAAAACGTTTTCTCATTGTTCCAGTCCTCAGTGAATATTCCCTATTCTGTATCATTCATGTAGTGGTTAGAATAGGCTATCAAGAAGAGTTGGTTATGTATGCTATGATTGTATTCTATACACTCAACCATATTTTAAAAGGGTAAGACTGAGACTTCCCTGGTGGCCCAGTGGTTAAGACTCTGCGCTTCCACTGCAGGGGGCGTGGGTTTGATCCCTGTTTGGGGAGCTAGGATCCCACATGCTGCGAGGTGAAGCCAAAAAAAAAAAGGGTAGGACTATGTTTTATGCACTCACTTTTTTCTGTTATGCCTGGTACAGTGCCTTATAATATCATGCTCAATATATATTAGTTTTTGTTGATAATGAAATTCTGAAAGGAAAAGAAACAATGATCTTCCAAGCTATTGTTCCATTTTGCTTTGACCTTTCTTTCTGGTTGAAGGTTCTTAAGTCTGAAATAGTGTCAATAGCAATTTACATGATTCTATCAAGTGTGGGTTTTTGTTTTGATTCTGTTAAACTAAATGTACTTGAGAGTGAACACAGATTTTTCTCTTGCCACAAGTAAGAAATTAGAAGGAGCTTTGATCATCTTTACTGCAGTGGATGATCAAGCGTGCAGGGCCAGTGTTGCACAGGGAGAAGAGCTCTGTACCAGGAGTCAGGGCGGGCTTTTCTCCAGATGTATAGACTGCATCGGCATTTTGTGTGTTTTCTAAGGTCCTAGTCGTTTAGGGCATGCCAAGACATCCCTCCTAAGGTGAAGGGCAAATTGTTACATCTAATCTGTATCAGTTTTCTATTGCCAGCTAACAAATTACTAGAAACTTAGCGGCTTACAACAATCTGAATTGATTATCTCATAATTGATGCTGAAACTCGACCTCTTTGCATGGGTGCTGAATCGAATCTCGGCGACAGAGTTTTGGGTGAATTAGAAAAGGAAAGCTTTATTGCTTTGCCAGGCAAAGGCAGGGGACACAGTAGGCTAATGCGCTCAAAAATGTGTGTCCCAGCACCAGGGGGATTTGGTGAGGAGTTTTATAGCACTGGTTCAAGGGTAGGGTTGCTGATAAGGATCAGGGTATGTGCAGGGCCTGCATTCCTTTGATCTGGCCTCACATGGTCTCCTGATGAGTTTCTGTGATTCTCGAGGTTATCAAACTGTGACCTTCTCTCTGGAAAGAAAAATGCTTCATCCAGTAGTTAACATCTTCCATTTGTTGGGGCTTTTAGTTCTGCAGATGAGCTGAAAAATATTATGTATCCCTTGAGGTGGAACCAGGACCCTGCTCCAAGGCTGCACTATTGTTCCTTTTTTTTTTTGGCCACACCGACCCTCCTGTGGGATTTTAGTTCCTCCACCAGGGATCAAACCCATGTCCCCTGCAGTGGAAGTGTGGAGCCCTAACCAATGGACCGCCAGGGAGTTCCCTGCACTACTGTTCCTTGACTGCTCCTCCCTTGTCTCCACATCCTCTCGCTTCCCTGATTAGCAACTGTTTGAACCTGCTCTTTGGAGCTCTGGGAAAAGGTCATGGAGGCTGAAGCCTATTCCCTACAAACAAGAAATGGGGGACACAGAAAGGCTTCCATGCCCAGGAGCCCCACAGAGTCCTGCTCGGTTTCATGATTTCAGTAGGTCAGATGGTGGATTCTCTGCTTGGATTTCCCTGGGCTGAAATCAAGGTGTTGGCTAGGACTGCAGTTGTCCTCTGGACCTGGTCATTTGCTGCTCTCCTCTTTTTGGAGATCCTCCTTTGTCAGTGACCACATAAGGGAGGGTGTGCTGCTAGAGCCAACTTTTAAATGTTTTTAAAGTACATCAGATACGCTGGATGTGGGAGGCAGAGAGAGGGGAGGAACGGGTGGCCAAGGAAGGAGGAACTTTAGTAAAATGATTTTTAAGATTGTGGGGGCTGTTGGCACAGGCAGGACAGATTTTAATAAAAAAGCTAATAAAATTATCTGCAAAAAACTTTTCTGGGGGGTAGCAAGTGATTGGAAATCTAATTGTATTTTTTTAAAGAAAACAACATGAAGAGAATGTGTTGATGACGTAGTTGGAAAGTTCAGAAGTTCAGGGAACTTCAGATATGGCTGGATCCAGGGGTTCAAATGATTTTGCTAGGACTCTGGTTCTCTCCTCTTAGCCCAGCTCTTTCCTAGCCTTTATGCCACCCATTGATTTTTTTTTTAATAAATTTATTTATTTATTTATATTTTAAATTTTTGGCTGCGTTCGGTCTTTGTTGCTGTGCGCGGCTTTCTCTAGTTGCGGTGAGTGAGGGCTACTCTTCGTTGCGGTGCGTGGGCTTCTCATTGCAGTGGCTTCTCTTGTTGTGGAGCACGGACTCTAGGCGTGGGGCTTCAGTAGTTGTGGCTCACGGGCTCTAGAGCGCAGGCTCAGTAGCTGTGGCGCACGGGCTTAGTTGCTCCGTGGCATGTGGGATCTTCCCGGACCAGGACTTGAACCTGTGTCCCCTGCATTGGCAGACGGATTCTTAACCACTTTGATTTTTAACCCTTAATTGATTATACAACACCTAACTCCTCCTATGGACTCATTGTAGCAGAAAGAAGGGTTTCCTGTTATTTCTCAAGAAGGATTTCATGGATAAGGATTGTCTTGGCTTCAGCCACATGCCTCTTCCTGAATCACTGCAAGGGGGCTGGGGTGGCCTAATCGGCAGGTGGGGTTATATGCCCATTTTGTAGCTGGGGTGGGGGGGTTGGTGGGGATGGAGTGGTACAGGGCCAGCCCCACCTGTCCTGCATGGAATGAGATCACTACAGGAAAGAGTGCTGTTACCAGGTGAAGGGGGTGGCTGGTGTCGGGCAGGCAGAAACAACCAATGTCCTCTGTAGCATCCCTCTGGGCTTAGGTACAGGCAAAGTCATAGGGTGGAATCAGGAGGGTGGAGAAGAGATACTGACTCAACCACAGGTTTGAGTTACTTCCTTCTGGCAAGTGGGAACAGATCCACGGTTCCAGATTGTTCAGAGTATCCTGAGTATAATTTTTAGAGGAACAGTCTAACACCCGGGGAGAGTTATTCTCTTCATCTTCCTATATCCAGCTTTTCAGTGTATTGTTCATGGTGCCATTTCCCTCATTACTCTGGGGCAGTGAGTGAGCTTTCTTCATTCTTCCTTCTCTCTGACTCTTCAGTGACTCGGGTTTGAAAACCCCTTCTTTGTACCATCGTCTACACCTTCATGTTTGCTACTCTTGGTTGGGTCTTTATTGTCATGGGCAGGGACTGTCAGGTGTCTACTCACCAATCTCTGCTTCGAGCCACTGTCAGATGAATCTGATTAAATCTTTTTTGTTTGTTTGTTTTTGTTTTTGTTTTTTTGCGGTACACGGGCCTCTCACTGTTGTGGCCTCTCCCGTTGCGGAGCACAGGCTCCGGATGCGCAGGCTCAGCGGCCATGGCTCACGGGCTCAGCCGCTCAACGGCATGTGGGATCTTCCCGGACCGGGGCACGAACCCATGTCCCCTGCATCAGCAGGCGGACTCTCAACCACTGCACCACCAGGGAAGCCCTAACTCTTATTTTGATCATGTCAATTTTCTTCTTTTAACAACCTTCATTTGCTGCAGATAAGTATTTAGATGCACTCTGTATTTCTTACTTGGCATTCCTAGTTTTCTGTGATATGGCTTTGTCTCCTATATCCTGTCCTCAGGCCACCTGTCTGTGTGTAGTCAGTACACATGCCCAGCCCTGCTTCTGCACTGTGCTCACCCCCTCTTCTCACCCAAAACTGTCCCCTGCCCTCCTTCCCACCCCTGAATCCACCACATCCACTAAGACTCACCCCAAGTCCAACCTCTCCCGTGAAGACTTCCCTAATTTTTCCAGTTCGCTATTATTTCTTCAGATTGTTTCAGAGAAGAATCATGGGACTTCTTTTCTGAGCTACCTAGTATACACTTCAGCCTACTCTCTTGAGTTGTTAGTTATCTTTTCATGATAAATATTGTTTCTCAACTCACCTCAAGGCATTTGCCATAGCTGTGTGACTTCAGAAAACCTCTCTGAGCATCCATTCCCCCCCTTTGCAATGTGAGAGATAGCTACCATGCAGAGTGGTTGAAAGGATTAGCCAGGATACCTGTAAAGGGGCTCTCCCCGTGCCTGGTACACGAATCGAGTGTCACGATTGTTAGCTGGAGGCATTGCTGAGCAAGGGAAAGAAGTCCCATCCCGATGCACCTCCACACCCTTCAGCATCTGGTATGTCCCCTGAACCTCGTATCTGAAAACGAGGATTTAATTCAATAAGCATTTTGTTTTAGGTTGAGTTCCCTCAGACGCAGATCCTGAGACAAGGATGTACATGTGAAGGTTTATCTGGGAGGCGACCCCAGAATAGCAGAAAGGGAGTGAGAAGGGGAGATACTGAAGGAGAGGAAGCCAAGGCGGGACACATGCACAGACAGGTTACCACTGAGGGCAGCTGGGCTCCAACCCACTGGGAACCTCTGGGATGCTTTGTAGAACATGTTTAGGGTTGTCTGCCAGAGAGAGAGGAAGCTGATACCTTTGTCCACCAGAGTACATCCATCATTGACTGCTGGCTGCTAACAGGGGCCCTAACTTCCCCACACTTCTGGCCGATTCCTGCCCATGGCTGAGTTGCTGCAGTGGAGAGAGTTCTCAGGCAGGGAAATCCAGGGTGGGGTTGCCAGATTTAGTGAATAAAACTACAGGATGGCCAGTTAAATTTGAATTTTCGATAAAAGACAAATAATGTTTTAGTGTGTGTTATGGGCTGAATTCTGCCCCCTCCCTAATTAATATGTTCAAGTCCTCAGTCTCTCAGAATGTGATGGTATTTGGAGATAGGATATTTACAAAGGCAATTAAGATAAAATGAGGTCACTAGCGTGGGCCCTAATCCAATATGTTTGGTGCCCTTATAGGAAGAGATTAGGACACTGTCGCACACAGTGGGAAGAACACGTGAGGACACAGTGAAAAGATGGACATCTATCTACAAGCCAAGGAGAGAGGCCTCAGAAGAAACCAACTCTACCAACTTCTAGCCGTCAGAATGGTGAAAACATACATTTCTGTTATTTTTATACCCCCTAGTCTGGGTTACTTTGTTATTATAGTCCTAGCAAACAAATATAGTGTGTTACAATATTGCGAGGGATGCAGTTATACTAAAAAACTACTTTTTGTTTATCTGAAATTCAAATTTAATTGAGCTTTCTATATTTTATCTGACAACCCCAATTCAGGGGCTTGTTTAAGGGATAAGAACAGAGCAGTGTCTTCATTTATTGAGTATCTACCATGTGTCTGGAGTGGGGTTTATTGTGGGAATATGGAATTAATGAATGTCTCCAGACCCTGTTTGCTTACCTCTCAGTGTTGTAATTAGGCTTGAATGAATGAAGGAGGTGTTTAGAACTGCTTTGAAAATTATAAAGTACTACACAAACAAATGAAATAAAATTATTCATTTTTTACCTATTTCCTAAAACTCCCAGAATACTGTCTGGTACATAGTAACTGCTCAACAAATATTTGGTAAGTCAAAAGGAATTATTATTATAGATCATCAATAAATAATTATTTATTTCTTGATGAATGTCCTAAGACTCAGATAAGACTATTTTTTAATATCTTCCTAGGTCTTAGACATGCTTATTTTTAGAGCCTTGCCTCACATCACATCATTCATATTGAAGTGAATATCTCATGTGTGAATCAAGGGATTTTATATATATATGATATATATATTTGCTGTAGGCATTTTTGAATTAATTTTATAATTTTTTATAAATTATGATTTATAATTTAGTTTTTGAAAAGATTTGTCTATGAGTAATTCACTTCCGATTGATTTTTCAATTTAAGAGTGTGAGGGGCCCATGAACCTGTATGAAAAGAATTTCTTATTTTCATTAACTTCAAACTAAAATTTGGCATTTTCTTTAATTATGAATATAAGCTACATATTAACATTAACAGTATCTCTCTCACCAAAAGAAGTCACAGATACATTAAAAGCACATTACAGGGGTTACAGATATCTCAAAATATCATTTATATTTATTGTTACTTTAAAAATATAGTAGTTATTAAATCTACTGCTACATCTCATCATTTAATGCATTCATAAATGAGCACATAAGTTGCAAAGTAGTTTTTAAAAATATTTTGAAAATTTTATTTGAAAATAGTTGATTTTCCTTGTAATATGCTTAAAAGGATTTTTTTTTGGCAATGGGTTCCAGAAACTTCACCAGACTTCCGAAGGGATATATGGCACAAAAGTTGTAAAGATCCCCTGTTAGTGCTTCATGGGTGAAACAGCCTAGGTGTGAAGCTCAGGTGACTCCTGCCTGGCTTTGCTTCTTTGTTCTTTTCTGGAACAAAGGAGGCACTTATCGGACTCAGAAGAATTGCATGCAGAAGCAAGAGAAAGTCAAAGTATGTCTAAAGTTTACTGGAAAAATTACTGGGTGTGGAGTAAAATGACTTTGGATCCAGTCCAGGCTTAACTTTACCGTCCTTGCATCAGGTGCATTTGTTCACTGTCAGCAGTGATTTACTGAGGGCTGATCACCCACCAGACCCTGAGCATGGGCCTTGGAGAAGGGTTCAGTCCCTCTGTCACTCACCAGCTGAGTGACTTTGAATAAGTTATTTCATATCCCTAAGCCTCAGTTTTCTAATCTGTAAAATGGAGACACTGATCCTTAATTTATAGGGTTGTTGACAGGATTAGATAAGAGAATGGGTGTAAAGTACCATAAACACATAAAAGATGACAAGTTACTATGAATCACCATTTTGTCCAAGTCCTACATCAGTGGTGTTGCTAGATGTGAAAGAAAAGCAGATAAAACTGTCTTCTCTTTTAGGGAAAAAAACCCCAAAACATGTCCTTTCAAAGAATGGAACTGAACTTAACTGAGTTCTTGTTAGCTAAAATGTCAAGGTTAGGGGGAAAAGTCTTATGACAAATGCATCTTTTTTTCTTTTGATGGTGCTTATCTTACCTGAGACACAAAGAGAAAAAAATCCTCAAAAGACTGATAAACTATTTAGCTTACTTTCCTTTATTACTTATTGAAGATATTTAACCTCTTAGAAACATTGTTCATATAATTTCATAAGTCATCATAGGGATTACTGTGAACATACATGAAGGCTAAAATTTGTATCCCTCATCAGCAACCTAGCTAAACTTTTCTTAAAAGGTATATTATATTAAAAAATATGAAAAGCTCTACTCGCAATTATGATTTAAGAGAGCCACTCCACTGTTCTTTTTCTTGATAGTTTATTTTCTAAAAGCCTAAATACAAGGCATTCTTTTATTTCCATTTGTATTGTAACTTCCGCCCTTCACAGGTGTAAACCGTGTTAATTACAGTAATCACCACCAGGTTGCGCTGTAGTTCCACAATGGAAACAGACTAGGGTCTGTGAAGAATTCTCGGAGGTCTTAGTTAACCATATTGTTTCTGTTTTCTGAAGCGAAGAGGGGTGGAGACAGATACTTAAAAGGAAAAAAGAAAAGACTATGCTGAAAATAAAGAATTCCAAATTCACTATGATTAAAAAATGTGATATTCAGCAGAAAAGATTTTCTCTGAGAATATTGTTAAGGTTCTTTTTAGAAAAAATTGCTCAGTACTGTTAGTTAAAACTATTTTCCTGATGGCAAACAAAACAAAACAAGACAAAGCAAAACAAAACTCTGTAGAAAGTTTTGTTTCCTATTTTCTCTAGTTGATGGATAAGACTATTTTTTAACATACCAAGATAAGGTGTATTTTATTTAAAAATCATAATGGTATCTTTGATATAAATCAGGCTTTGGAAAATATATGTACATTCCAACTTGAAACAACTTCAAGAAAAGTAAAGCTCCCCCCCCCCCGCCCCGCCCCTTTTTCTTTTCTGCTCTTGTTTTTCCCAAATGTCAATATTTATGAGTCAGGGGTTGTGGGAAATGTTACCTAGAGCCACAAGGGGCCAGAGTTTGCCCTCTTCTATCCCTGGGGAGTTGAGTATGAGTGCCAGAGGGCAACATTTGGTTGGAAGGACCCAACCCCTTCTTTCTTTGCACCCTGTAGTATGCCCTTTGAAGTGAAGGAAAATTCTGTACTCAGCTCTGCTTTATAAGATGTCAACTCAAGATGAGCAATGCATACAGGTTTCTGTATATCCCTTTGGCATAAAAACAGATGCAGATGCAGACTTACAGAAAGCAAAAATGCCAGAATTATGCAAGTAATTTTGAGATTTTGAGAACTCCTCAGATAACATATTCACAAGTCTAAATTTCTGGGTATTTATTGCCTGTCAAATTTATTCAGTTAAAAAAAATTCTGAAAAAAAGAAATTCTGGATAAGACCTTTTTTTTTTTTTGTCATACTGCTATCAAAACATCAGTCACTTCAGGTTTAACCCCTTTTAGGATTTGGGTGGCATTAGTTTTAGCAATGGTAAAGACAGAAGGCAATGACAATGAAACACTCACAGAAATAAGGTAAGAATCTCAGAAAATATTAGGAAATTGTGGAGCTTATATTTATCATATAGTTGAGTTGCTATCCATCAAGATGATGAAAACAATTCATTATTTAGTCCAATGCCTTCTTTTAGTTGGTTTCCTTTCAAATTGTCAGTCATTAGGGGCTGAACAAGAAAATAAAAGCTGAAAATGAACAAGCTTTAATAGGCAGAATACACTGAGAGATAAACTGGAAAATTGGGGCCATTAACAAATGAAAAAAAAAATCAAAAACAGTTTTAAAAACAAAAAAGTCACCAGTAAAATATGTTTCTAAGGTCAATTGAAATGCCCTGACATTGATTCTCAGCTTCCTCTTTGTTTTATTTGAAGGCTCTTCTCTTTATTTTTTTCCTAATTTAAATCTTTAACTTATTACCTCCATAGGTGGTTAAGTCTCCAAGTATCTTTTAACTAAGGTTCATTTTTTTTTCTTTATTCTATTTATTTCAACAATTCTTTATTTAGCTTGCTTTATTTTTATATGTCCCACCCAAACACTTAACTGGTTCAAGCGCTTAACTGGTTTCCAAAGGCTCCTTGTAAAAATAACAAGATAAAAATTCATGGAACATTTTATTTTCCCAGATTGGGAGATAATTACACTTTCATTTTGGGGAAAAGTGTGGCAAAATAATTATTGAGATTAATGAAAAAAGTGATTGGGGGGTATGTTAACATCAGTTTTTTGGGGAAAAAAAAATGGCTCTCTGTGGGAAGATACTTACATTTCATTTTCCAAAAGCCATTGGCTTTTTTCTCAGTGGTCAGCTAGTTCTGAATGCATTTCTCCCACTTGCCAGTGGTGTGCCAGTGTTCTGCTGTTTAAATTCCCCACACCTCAGTTTCTTTATCTCTAAGTGGGGATAAACTATTTAGCTCAGAGATGCTGAGAGAATTAAATTAGTACCATGTTCAGTTTTTCATGAACAGTAGGTGCCCAGTGTTTGATGATTTCCTTCTGCCTTTCATCATCAACAGGACCACAAAAAACAAAATGCAGGTTTATCCACATATTAAACACCTCTATGGGGGCCAAATAGGAAACTTGTTTAAAGTAATTTGTATGGCACCTAACATTCCAGGACATGCCATTCTTGCAACCCCATCATAGACATGCCGAATGAAATTAGCTTTGGAAACAAGACTTTGAAACCAACATTATAAATTCCCATAGGTAGACTTAGTATTTTAATATTTCGTTAATATTCATGTGTATGTTTAACATATGTTTATCTGTTGTGCATAGCATATATGTTACCAAACTTAGGTTTGGCTGCTTGTGGCTCGAAAGCCCATACTTGAAGCCCATAGCTTTATTCAGGAGGCTGGCAAACTGGGGAGAAGGTGGACTCGTGTGCAAAAGCCAACTCTGAAGATTCTGTTTGACCATGAAAGTTTTTAAGGGGAGAATCATTTGGGGAGGGGGGGTCAAAGTCTTCATTATCTTCCATTCTGTGCATACTTTCTTCTGATTGGCTCGTGGTAAGGTAACAGGATGGTGTCCCAGGCATAG